TTTCCTCGCACCTCTGACACTTCGCGAAACGATTTTGCTGTTGGGCGCCAGACGCGTGAATTCGCGTCCGCGAAATCGCGAAAGAAAACCAAGACGAGACGCGAGACGAAACGTGCGGATGTGCGAGGAATCGGCTAGCTCGACCTAAGGGCTGGGGCGGGGGTGATGAAGGACGGTGCGATATCCGGCGGGGTGACACCCAATAAATAAGGCTACGAACTCCAGCGATTAACAATTCAAAAATAACATTTATTCTTTAGTAATTCGCGGGTGAAATAACACATGCCAATTCGGCTTCAGTCAATCGAGCAAATCAAATAATTAACCACGCGAGCGTCAGAAATAAAACAACAAAAATAATGATAGCGCGGACGCCAGAAATAAACGGAGTATTACGTTATCATATAGTAAACGCGCAGTAGGCGCTGCAATTAGATCAGAGAAGTACAGTAGGATGAAACTTATAATTAAGATGGAACATTGACAGTAAACGCGGAACAATCACGGAAATAGAAAATATAGTCTCGCAGAAAAGATCGCGAGAAGACGGGACGTCACGCTCGGAGCGCGTGAACGCCACGTATAGAGTCGCACGAGAATTCTGTCGCCAATTAACTTAAGCCTAACACCAGTGGAATCGTGGTGTAAGCCACGACTCAACGTAATGAGGACCGTACACAACGCAATAACGCGAGAAATATTCCGGCGCGATCGCCAGGAGACGCGAAATCTTATAACTAACGCGAAAATACGGACTTAATCTAACGCACGTAATAACTAGAGCCAACGCAAGTATTTCTGATCGAATTCGGCACATTGTCTCCCGTGGCTTTCGAACGCGAAGAATGATACGCCGAGGTATTCGGCATAGCGCGAAATACTGGAACGAACACGAGGAAAAATATACGGAATTACCGCGAGCAATAATAATACGCAATCACGACGGCACTGAGCCAATCGCGAGAATGGAGTAAATCACGCGAATAACGTTCTCCCGCCCGCACGACTACTTCTTACACGCAATTACCGAAACACGCATCCGAACATAACTATCCTGACACGCATAACTTTCTAAGGCAATTAGCCCACCTAAACGGCACGTTGACGCGATTGATGTGCCGACGCGGACGACATTCCGACCTACGCAATATTTGGTAATTCGATACGCCGTGAACACCGTGTGCGCGAGACGCAACCGCGAGCGCGGACGTTACGCGAAAACGGACTCGCATTACCGGATTTCGCCAAAAAATCTGTCGCGATCTCCAGAGGCTTGTTATCACATCGTTATCGCGATTCCGCGGCCACGATACCATCCCGAGGCCCTTCGCTCTCGCTGTCGATCACCATTCGATACTCGGGCTCAAGGAACCGTACGCGTGTCGCGATATTACAAATGTAATCCTGGACGAGAGCGCGCACCGGAGGGCGGCGTCGCGGCGTCGTGGCTTTACATTTCGGTATCAAGTACTTGCAGGCAACCTCACCGATGCGATGCCTCCTCGTAGGGCTCCTCGCCGTCACCTCGTACCAAGTTGTCGCAGGACGAAACAAATACCCGACTCGGGGCGGCTATCGCGAATCTTAATAAAACTTTTCGTGTTCGGCCTTGCCGACGGACGACTAGAGAGTGTCTCGCTAAATCCGCTCGATTGCGGAATCGATGTGGCACCCCCTTCCGTAGGGGTGCGCCAGCCAATCGGAGCGAGCTTGCAAGCTCGCGCGATAATTTAACGCAGGATCGTCGTAAGGTGGATCCTTCGGGGGCGCGCAACGGTCCCTCGGCGGCGTAACGACTCCTTCAATTCGTCCCTGGACAGCGGACTGGACTTCGTTCTAGCCGGTGTGCCTCCGGTTTGACCTCGGGGCGGTGATCAGTCACCCCGCGGGCCGGTATTTTGTGGAGGCAGATTGCTGAGGCCGGGTTTTCCCCAGGCGCCTGGGGCCCCGCTATCGGCGGCCTTGTCCATCGCTGCCTCCCGCGCCGCACGCCTGCCGCGTTGTTCTCGCCGCCCGGAATCCCAGTGGTTTCCGCTTTCGCCCTCGCCACCCCTCCTCGGTCCTTGGCCCTCCCGGACCCTTCCGCTAGGTGTATTTCCTCGAAGATTTATCGTGATGAGGTGAGGCGCCGCGCGTATTACAATTGCATAAAAATAAAACAAATAGTCAAAACGCGAAAATGATATAAATTTTTGGCCTCTGGAGATCTCGTCGTCGCCTCCCTGGCTCGTTCCTGGGCGCGAATTTCCGCGCCTTGTGACGGCGGCGGGGCGCTGCCACGAAGCGGCGGGCAACGTCACAAGGCATTAATCCATTCTTTGTCGACTTCCAGTCCCATTCTAATGGGTTTAAAGTTTGTTCGTACCACTGTTGTATTTGATAATACACTTTTTTCCATGTAATCTTGCGGCATCAGCAGTTGGAAGCAGACACGCTGGTGTGAACGTTGATTTTTTAGACTGTTTTGCAAAGCATATGAAGCGACACTTAGCTAAACAGGTGTCGTTAGTTTTGGCTCCGTATAAAATAGCAATAATTTTTTCAGATGCTGTACCTATTGCTTCTTCACTAGCATTTTTATCTAAAAAAAACTGTCATGTTTTTTCGCAAATAAATAATATTTTTTAATATAAATTTCACAAATTTTGTTTTTTCCACATTATAGAAAGAAGAAGTGGTATCGCATCCACTGAAGACATAAATAAAGCCGATAAAATCCTGATATTCGGGATACGTAAAAAATAATATTTATTTGCGAGAAGACATGACAGTTTTTTTTAGATAAAAATGAAGTGTTGCTAGTGAAGAAGCAATAGGTACAGCATCTGAAAAAAATTATTGCTATTTTATACGAAGCCAAAACTAAGCCGCGTATTCATAATCCTTTTTTGAGGAATGAGGATTTCTTTGTTCCTTATTCTACATTTCATAAACCTTCTTTGACCGATCAAGGAACCTTAAGATTTATGAAATTTAGAATGATGAACAAGTCCGTGCCAGTTCTGAGCTGAGCGTTGAATGGCGGCCGAAGAGGACGACCACGACGGCTCGCGCTGCCACGGAAGCCTCGCAGCAAGGAAGATCCGCGGGAGGCCAAGGCACGGGACCGAGCTCGGATCCCCGGGACCGGCGCGAGAACGCCGATCGGTTCACCTCGCCCAGGCCCGGCACGTCAGCCAAACCCGCTTCCCGACCAAGCCCGACACGCCCCGCTCCTCAGAGCCAATCCTTATTCCGAAGTTACGGATCCAATTTGCCGACTTCCCTTACCTACATTAGTCTATCGACTAGAGGCTCTTTACCTTGGAGACCTGCTGCGGATATGGGTACGAACCGGCGCGACACCTCCACGTGGCCCTCTCCTGGATTTTCAAGGTCCGAGGGGAAGATCCGGACACCGCCGCAACTGCGGTGCTCTTCGCGTTCCAAACCCTATCTCCCTGCTAGAGGTTTCCAAGGAACTCGAACGCTTATACAGAAAAGAAAACTCTTCCCGGATCTCCCGACGGCGTCTCCAGGTCATTTTGGGTTACCCCGACGAACACTCTTACAAGGGCCCGAATTGTATGCGGTTCCGCTGCCGGGTTCCGGAATGGGAGCCGGATTCCCTTTCGCCCGACGATGAACAAGGAATCCTCATTCCTCAAGGAAGGATTATGAATACAGCTGTAACAACACTGTTTAGCTAAGTGTCGCTTTATATCCTTTGCGAAACAGTCTAAAAAATCAACGTTCACGCCATCGTGTCTGCCTCCAACTGCTGATGTCGCAAGATTACATGGAAAAAAAAATATATTATCAAATACAACAGTGTTACGAACAAACTTCAAACCCACTAGAATGGGGCTGGAAGTCGACAAAGAATGGATTAATGCCTCTTCGTATGACTCAGAATCTTGCAACACAATCCTTGCTGACGCTTATAGCCTGCAAATGTACGAAAAACTACCGAGTGAACTGTGGTTGCAAGAAACTGGGCATACAATGTTCAATTTCTTGTAAAAAGTGCCAAGGTGTCAACTGCGAAAACACCAAAACGTTTGAAACTTATGATGATGTTCACGATGATGTGGACAAAGAAATCGAGTTGTTGAGCCTGAAAAAGATTTTTCTTAAGAAATACATATGTTTTTGTTAATAAATGTAAAAAAAAAACAGTTTAAATAACATTAAATTAAAATAAAAGCAAAACACTGAAAACCCGACTAAAACCATTCAACTTGCGTGAACGATATCTCGGTCACTATTTGGTCGTAAAAATGTTTTCGACCCCGCATTTGTTTCGTTAAAATGTCTACTTTCTTTTATCTCAGAACAAAAAAATCGCTTAGACTGCTAGAAAAAAAGTTGCACGCAAAAATGTGAAAATAGTATATTATGCAACACGTGCATGGAAAGTGCCCCATTACGCACGCTACGCGTGCGTGATAGACCACTTTCCAGGCACTTGCCACATAAAATAGGGAGTGTAAGTCGTATGTAAAGATGAAAATTCCCGGGTGCGGTTATCGTACTCGCCTTCGGCTTGTGCGTAAACTCCGCATCCGGGAATTTTCATCTTACGACACTTGTTACACAAATAACTATTGTACAACTAGTGGGGAAAAGTGGTCGATTCTGAATGAGTGTGAAGTACCACTACTTTCATCGTTTCCTTACTTACTCGGTTAGGTGGAGCGCGTGCCCCGAGGGCTTCGTGCCCCGGTGGTCACGGTGTTCTAGAGCTAAGCGTGTCAGAGTGGCGTGAGGCCTCGCGGCCGATCGCCGTTAATACTCCCGCGTGATCCGATTCGAGGACACTGCCAGGCGGGGACTTTGACTGGGGCGATACATCTGTCAAAGAATAACGCATTCACACTCCACGACGACCATCACACTCATTTGGGCTCGACCACTCTTCCCACGAGTTGTACATACTATTTTTCCTAATAAGAGCGTGAAATAGGCCTTGTTCTAGGCGCCAAATGGGGGGGGGTTCAGGGGGCGAAGCCCCGGTGGGGCCCAGGGGCGAAGCCCCCCGATTAAGACAAAAAATAAAATAAAAATAAAAAATAGATTTTTTTATTGAAATAAAAGAAAGTAGCAAATTTCACATAAATTATATTTTATTTATATTATATTAGAATAACAACAAATTACAGTTTTAATCACAATCGTATAATCTTTTTAATTAAAATTATTGCTTCCCAATCTCAATCTTACAGTTGCTACAATTAGAAATTTGCACTGTTATTTTGGCAGATGTATTGGGAATTTCTATAATATTTTCCGACAGATTTTCAACAATGTAGGGTTTCGCGGAAAGCGCTGGTACATTAACCGGTCCCAATATTGATCGTGCTGGCTTGTTTGGTTTCAAGTCCGATGTAATTTTATTACAAGTCGCGATTTTTCCGCGGAAAGAATTTTCTACATATCCCTCTGCAATTGTGGTGCTTTTCCAGCCGCCATGACGTTTCTGCTCTCCGAGGTCTCCTCCTCCCTCGACCAACAACGTGGCGGATGTGCGTCGGAAACTGTGGCCTACACATTAAAATCATTTGAAAAATTTGAAAAATCAAGTTATCAAACTTAAAAAAATTGAGTATTTTACCACTGTATAATTCAGCATTTTCCAACTGTAAATACGTCGCAATCTGTTTTGGCATGCCGCTGCACTTGTTTATTCCGATCGGCTGCACCGAGCATTTTCCTTTATCAAAGCGCAGGAAAAATCGGTCAGTGGTTGCTGATTCAAGGCGAAGTGCCATGTACGTCTTGACAGTCGCTGCGTGCGCTTTGTTAATCACGAACGACTGTTGAATCCCTGTTTTCGTTTTGGGTACTTTTATCAAAATTACCTCGTCTTGTATTTCAACGTCGGATCTTTTCATGTTTGTTAATTCGTTGCATCTGCAACCTCCGCACACGCTCATGATTGTTACAACCTGTATAAAATTTTTTTTTATTTTTAAAGTATATTTTATTTTTTATATGAAGTTTATGGACAGTTCCTTGTTACTGCTTACCTTCATTGCCAGGTATTGATCGTCTGGAGCATCATTCAGAAATTTACTAATGTTAGTACTGGTGAAAACTTTGGCTTTTTTTGGACGATGGCCTTTCGTTTTCTTTTTTAATAAAGCACGCAACTCTTTATATTTACTAATGTCCACGTTTTGTTTCATTTCGATTACAGCTCGGAGCATTGAATAGCGAGACCACAGGGTCGTGGGGGCCATATCTTTTAGCTTAACGTTAAAATACGATAAAAAACAATCTTCCGAGAATGACGATGTTTGTTTTTCCTTTTGCTATTTTAGAAAATGCTTGTAGGCCGCGATGTATTTATCTTGAGATGCATCCGGTAGCAAATTGCTTCGGGCCGTAGAAGCCTCCGCGCGAATTTCGGGCGGCGTAAAATAATCCTCGTCACTCAAAATCTCCATGATTAACAACGCGAGCAAAATGTGCATTGACGCATAATGAAACGTAACCTCACGACGCAAAATAACGTGAAGTTGCCATTAACACCCGCGGTCACCATGAGACATCAATAAAATAAACCCATTTCTTAATGCTTACAATTTCATTTCTCCACTAGTTGAGAAATGGCTCCATGTCTCAACGTTTACGTCATCGATTGAAAAATGGATCGTTTTGCTCACTCAAAACAAGCGTGAAAAGAGCCTATTTCACGCTCATGTTAGGAAAAAATCTTTTTTCCCAAATTTTCCCTATTTTTTAATTCCGTTTTAATCTTATTTCTTAAGTTTTTGATATTGCAAAAAAATTTTTTATATACGTATTCGATGCAAAATTTTATTTCCTACAAAAAAGTTTTTTTGTATTTTTTTCGTATTTTGCATCGTTTTCTAGATATTTCAAAAACAATGAAAAACAATATTTTTTCCCATACAGCATATAATATTGCAGAAATATTGCAGCAATATTATTTTTCGATTGCAATATTAAATAAAATGTATAGGAAATATTGCAGTAATATTACTGAGATATCTCAGTAATATTAAAATGTCCGCGAAAATGAATATCAGTAATATTACTGATATTTATTTCAGTAATATTGCGGTAATATTACCGCAATATATCAGTAATATTACGGTAAAATTACTATAATATTTACGACATTTGTATAATATTGCTAGGAATTAAAAAACCATTTTAATAATTTTTATTAAATTTTATTAAATTATTTTTAATAGTATTGTTACATACAATTTTAAAATAATATTGATATTGTAAACGCAATATTATTTGTGTAATATTAGATAATATTTATTTAATATTGCTAAAAATTAAAACATTTTAATGAATATTATTAAATTTTATCAAATTGTTATTTTTAATAATAGTATTACATACAATATTAAGAAAATAATATTGATATTATTTTTCTATCTCTTTTTTCTTCAAAACTGCTCCATGCTACTCTGCACTCTGTATGAATTTCCACTGATATAAAGAATGACGTAACACTATAACATAATACAAAAACTGTAATTATTATTTATATCTAATTATACAAGGTGAGTTTTATTTTGTATGCCAATTATCTTCACTAATTATCTTAGAAAGTATTGGTTTATTGGAAAAATGTTTCAGATAAAAGTTGGAGGGTTTATAGAGGAATAATGGATGATCTTATTAGATTTTGAATCTGGAACCCATGTTGAGCCCAGTAGGGTCCAAGTCAATTTTTTTAAATAATAACGCCCTTTTTTATTACATCATCTTTTTTAGTAGAAATTAATTAGTAAATTAATATAAACAACTTTTGTCTGAAACATTTTTATTTGCCTTATACTTTTTGAGATATTCAAGAAAAATTTGGTAATTTTTTTAATATTTAGCTTATATCTTGATAAATGCTTGTCGGAGGGAAAAATGATACAAGACTTTTTGACTTGATATGGTCTCAAGAATATGCTATTGCAATAATACCATAATTTCTTTAAATATTTGTGTATACATTTTCTTGAAGCTTTCATGTGTACACAGTTATTTAAAGAAATTAGAATACTATTGCAACAGTATATTCTTGAAACCGAATCAAGTCAAAAAATCCTGTACCACTTTTCACTCCGACGAACATTTATTGACAAACATCTATTGTAAGATAAATATTGAAAAAAATAGCAAGTTTTCCTTGAATATCTCAAAAAGTATAAAGCAAATAAAAAAATGTTTCAGACAAAAGTTGTTCATATTAATTAGTAGAAAAAGATGATACCATAAAAAGGAGGTTTCTATTTAAATAATTTGACTTGGATCCTATTAGGCTTAACACTGGTCCCGGACTCAAAATCTAATAAAATTGTCTATTGGTCCTCTTTGAACTCTTCAACTTTTATCTGAAACATTTTTCCAATAAATCAATACTTTCTGAGATAATTATAGCGGAGATGATTGGCACACGAAATAAAAATCACCCTGTTTACTTTATACATAATTATACATATTAAAACATAAGATTACGGGGTTAAGTATAACGTGTTCCGATATTCACTGCCTATACTGAAAATCTATGGTTAATGTTATACATACACTTTAGATTTTCAGTACTGGATATTAAAATATTGGAACGCAGTTTATACTAGAGCTCGGAAAAAGAAACAGATACCCGGGTATTCAAGTATCCGCCCGTTCGCCCGTTACCCGTTGTATACGGATCTGGACCGGTTCCGCGGGTACCCGGGTAATTCGGGTAGCGGGTACCCGTATCGATTCGGGTACCCGCTACCCGTGTCAATACGGGTACTTGTTATACCTGCGTCAGTACGGGTACCCGTATCGAGGCGGGTATAACAGCGTATGCTACAGATATCTGCGCGGCGTATTACACGGAGACGCGTATACGCAAAGTAATAAAATATAAATTCTCATACACGCTTCAAGAATATATTAAATATATGAAAGAATGCTTTTATATTAACCCTTCGTTTTTTCGATACCTTCTTAGTGCATACGTGAGTCTGTCATGTTCAACGCTCCCTACCTTAAAGTATTTTAAAAAATCTGAAAAAATTTATAAAACATCTGTCTACATTGTAGTTGACAATTTTATAATTTTTTGATAACCATTTGTTTATTTAATATTTGATTTTTAATGAACTTT